GACATAACATTTTTGTTTTGTTTTGTTTTTTGTTTTTCGAGACAGGGTTTCTCTGTGTAGCTTTGCGCCTTTTCCTGGAACTCACTTGGTAGCCCAGGCTGGCCTCGAACTCACAGAGATCCGCCTGGCTCTGCCTCCCGAGTGCTGGGATTAAAGGCGTGCGCCACCACCGCCCGGCCAGACATAACATTTTCAAGTAGAGAAATCATGTAATCAATCTCAAACACTCATGAAACACTTTAATAATTATCAACTTATTACAAATATTGTTGTATTTATACCATCATCTTGGATTTTTGAAATTAATATACATTTTTCAATTTTATATATGTATAGAATATATTTTAATACTAACACACTCATTACTATATGAATGCACTAATGTACTCATTACTGTACAGATGCACTAATACACTCATCTTGATACACTCATCCATCTGCCTTCTCTTACTTTCTTCCCATCTTCACCTATCCTTCCTCTTACCAAGTCTACTTATCACTCTTGATTCTTTCTTTTTTTTACTTTGGATCATTTGAGTTTAGTGAGGACCACTCACTTGGGTGTGGGTGTTCAGTGAATTATGAGTAACTCACCAATGGCTACTTCACTAAGTAATGGCTTCTTGTACTGCAGCATAATTCAACTTCCATCAGCTCCTCTACATGGGGCAAGCTACATCTACAATTTATTGTTTATAGGCTCTATCCTGTGCAGGCCCTATTTAGGCAAAGGTGGCGGGTGCTTTGAATTTATAAGTTCTGTGGTCATGTCATGACCATAAAGTAGCATTCCTTTGACTTCCTCCCAGTGTTTTCACTATTTTCATTTCTTTGCACTCCCTCCTATGTGGTATTTCCTGAGACTTGGAGGAGGTGATGTTTGTATGCCATTTAAGGCTACACATTCAACCATCATTTGCTCTCAGCACCTTAACCAGCCATGACATTATTCTTCCCTGCTGTGGAATGTTCTGTATGGCAAATGTGTTGCTGATTGGTCAATAAATAAAACACTGATTGGCCATTGGCTAGGCAGGAAGTATAGGCGGGACAAGGAGGAGAATAAAGCTGGGAAGTGGAAGGCTGAGTGAGAGAGACACTGCCAGCCGCCACGATGAGAAACAAGGAGGAGAATAAAGCTGGGAAGTGGAAGGCTGAGTCAGAGAGACACTGTCAGCCGCCATGATGAGAAACAGCATGTGAAGATGCCGGTAAGCCACGAGCCACATGGCAAGGTATAGATTAATGGAAATGGATTAATTTAAGCTGTAAGAACAGCTAGCAAGAAGCCTGCCATGGCCATACAGTTTGTAACCAATATAAGTCTCTGTGTTTACTTGGTCGGGTCTGAGTGGCTGTGGGACTGGCAGGTGAAAGAGATTTGTCCTGACTGTGGGCCAGGCAGGAAAACTCTAGCTACAGTTCCCATTAACCATTGTTCACTATAAAAGTAGGCCTGTTCAGTTCTACCTTTGTATTACAACTATGAACCAAAATAGTGACCATCAAGGCATGATAACCCTAAGAATGCAGCAGTGGCATGCATGTCTTGGCAATAACCAGTTGTTCTCTAATTGGACATAAGACCTCATAAAGAGAAAAATTTCTGATACTAGAAACCTAGCCAACAGCCCAGGGCTAGTGAAGTAATGGATAGTGGAGAAGAACCTACAACCAGCATAATTTTAATTGAACTAGCACAGTCCCTAACTACATTCTAAATATTTATCCTATACATACAGTTAAGAGTAGTCCTCACCTTTTACCAAGGAAAATTCTCTATGAAATTTATGGAGACCACTACAGAATACTACGACCAATTAAAATGCAGAGTTGTGGAGCATAGTTCCAACTTATACATGCAGAACACAATTCCTTCACCTAAAGCTTGTGGATTATTGTGGAAGAGGGGCCAGAAAGATTTTTTTTTTAATTTATTTTAATTTATTTTGCAATACAATTCAGTTCTACATATCGGTCACGGATTCCCTTGTTCTCCCCCCTCCCGTCCCCCTCACCTTCCCCCCAACGCCCCCCCCCCCCCATTCCCATCTCCTCCAGGGCAAAGCCTTCCCCACAGACTGAGGTCAACCTGGTAGACTCAGTCCAGGTAGGTCTAGTCACCTCCTCCCAGGCCAAGCCAAACAATCCTGCATAGGCCCCAGGTTTCAAACAGCCAACTCATGCAATGAGCACAAGATCTGGTCCCACTGCCTGGATGCCTCCCAAACAGATCAAGCCAATCAACTGTCTCACCCATTCGGAGGGCCTGATCCAGTGGGGACCCCTCAGCCATTGGTTCATAGTTCATGTGTTTCCATTCATTTGGCTATTTGTCCCTGTGCTTTATCCAACCTTGGTCTCAACAATTCTCGCTCATATAAACCCTCCTCATTCTCGCTAATTGGACTCCCAGAGATCCACCCAGGGCCTAGTCATGGATCTCTGCATCCAGATCCCTCAGTAGTTGGATGAGGTTTCTAGCACAACAATTAGGGTGTTTGGCCATCCCATCACCAGAGTGGTACATATACACAATGGAATACTACTCAGCAGAAAAAAACAATGGCATCATGAGGTTTGCAGACAAATGGATGGATCTAGAAAAAATCATCCTGAGTGAGGTAACCCAGACTCAGAAAGACAAACATGGTATGTACTCACTCATAGCAGGATACTAGACATGAAACAAGGATGAATTGTCTGCTACTCACATCACCAGGGAGGCTACCCGGAAAACAGGACCCCAAGAAAGACACAGGGATCGCCCAATGACAGAGAAATGGAATGAGATCTACATGAACAGCCTGGACATGAGTCGGGGTAATGAAAGGCGAGGGTCGAGGGAAAGAGAGCTTGGGGGAGCGGGAGATCCCAGCTGGATCAACAACAGAGAGGGAGAACAAGGAATAGGAGACCATGGTAAATGAAGACCACATGAGAACAGGAAGAAGCAAAGTGCTAGAGAGGCCCACAGAAATCCACAAAGATACCCACACAACAGACTTCCGGCAATGGTCGAGAGACAGCCCGAACTGACCTACTCTGGTGATGGGATGGCCAAACACCCTAATTGTTGTGCTAGAAGCCAGAAAGATTTTAAGAGACAGAGGATCAGGGAGTTTGCTGTCAGAGTATGTCTTTAAGAAATGCCAGAGGCTATTCCTATAAATCTTACTAATGTGAACCTAACAAGGACAACACTAATAGGCATTCTAATTTGGACAGGGAAAAGCCCACGAAGCCTCCACAAAGATCTATAGGAAACGAAGGCATAATGAGAGTGGAAGAAATAGTCTTCTTCAGGTCAGAGAAGACCAATTGGTTGTCCAATACCAAGTTGTCAGCCAAAAAAACATGCATATGAATAACATTATACAGATAGAGCTTCTCATATTTAGGAATATTATGTGTATACATATACACATGTAATAGCAATGTAAACTGAGGCCATAGATTTTAGAAAGGGCAAGAAGGGATTTATGGGAGGGTATGGAGGGAGGAAAGGAAAGGGTGAAATGATGTAATTATATTATAAACTCAAAACAGAGTAATTACAAGGCTGAAGACAGAACTAACCCACAGATATAAAACAAATATTTATCAGGCTTTGGCAACCTGATAGCATTTAGCAAGCAAAAGTAGTAGATTCACTCCTAGCACTGCTGACATTGCCACCTATGGGCTTTTGATGAGGTCCACAGTGACAGACATAACTGACTTCTATAAATTGGGCCTCTGATCCAATCAGAAACCAGCTGGCTACCCACTAATGTAATGTTATCTGGCAAGCTGGTATTACATCACATAGCATGTGAAGTACAAAGGTGAGAATAACCATTGCTGATCTTTCTTCCATACCCACCTGCACATCAGCGTCCAGCACTATGAAGTCTACCTAGCACAGAGGAAGCTTCTTGGTAATTGCTCATGGTTTCTTTGTATTCTACCAATACTGTGTGTGGTTTCCTTGGCAATAGGATCATCTGTTTCTTGCTGGCAGCTGAGGGCAGTGGCTATAGCCTATGCAGTTTTGGGACTGTGGTGGTTTGAAAGAAAATAACTCCCAAAGGGAGTGGCACTAGTAGGAGGTATGGCCTTGTTGGAGTAGGCGTGGTCATATTGGAGGAAGTGTGTCACAGTGGGGATAGGCTATGAGGTCTTTTTCTCAAGCTTCACTCAATGTGATAGTCAGCTGACTTCCTGTTGCCTCTGAGTCAAGATGTAGGACTCTCAGCTCAAGCACTACATCTGCATGCGCACTGCCATACTCACCTTCATTATCATAATGGACTGAACCTCTGAAACTGTAAATGAGCCACCTTAAATTAAATATTTTTCTTTATAAAAGTTGTTGTGGTCATGGTGCCTCTTCACAGCAATAAAAACCCAAACTAAGACAGGGACCTACTGGCAGCAATTCCTAGGGGTATGCACCACATCTGGCATTGGGGCTTTTGTTTAATATCTCAGGGTTCAGCATCATCTGTGCAAGTGAGGTACCTCTGTTCAAAGTCTATCATGTTTCCTTCCTCGTAACTGAGAATGTGTTTCACCAATCTATCTCTCCTAAAGCAGCATGTATTTTCAAGTACAGCTATATTTCTTTGTATCACAAAAGAAAATTAGGCCCAAGAACTATCATGCTTTTCAGTCATTTGGCTGTATTTCTTAATGAGAACGAAATTACTTTTGCTTTCATAGAACATTGGAAGTATAGAAATGTGCTGACACTTGCCCTCCTCTCTCCACCTTCACACATGTGTTGTAGCAAATCAGTGGTTTTATACTCCCTAGGAAGCCATAACACAATCAGATAAACTTTATGAGCACAAAGGGGTCTGTCAGTTTTGCTCACTGGTGTGTGTCTGCAGTCTAAAACTCTTACACAGGTAGAGTCTTAACGCCTTTTAAAACAGCAAAATAAGTGACTATGTTTAAGATAAAATATTCTTGAATTCTACCAATTTAGAGTGATAAAACTTATTTCTTGCTTTCAGGAAGAATCTAAGTGAGGCCTCTAGGCCTGGGAGACAGAATACCATGAAGTCTGCTGTGAAACAGTTTCTCCTAGAAATGGGTGTATAAACAAGTTTGGAACAACGGCAACACCAATGGACATGGTAATGTGATGGGGGGGGGGATTTCATGGGTTCCCACCTCCAGACAAAGTACTATAGGAAACAAATGACTGCTGGGCAAAGGAGAATTAGAGTCTCCCAGAAATGAACCACTTATTGGTTGACCAAGGCAGAGTGATCAGCCTTGAAATCATATACACACAGGGAGCAAAATAAATTTATATTTATATATACTTGTGCATACACATATACACACAGATAACAATAATAAAGAAAAAGAGGCTATTAACTTCAAGTTTGGGGGTGGGGTGGGACTGGCTAGAGGGACGAAAGTGAGGGGGAGACAGTGATATAATTTCATTCCAATTAAAATATATTAAAATGAAATAATTTATCAATAAAAACACAAAAAGATGAGAAGAATAGATAGTACTCACAGAAGTCAGCAAGAAAATATGTCCCTGGACCTAAGGGTACATTGCATGTGCAAAGAAGAGAAAGCATTACAGTGAAAGAATACATAAAAGAGAGAAGGAAAAATATCTTTGGAAAGGCAGATATAATAAAGGTCAGTAGTAGCATGGGTGCAGAGTTGTGCATGGTAGATGCAGGTTTTACATTTTATCAGCTTTTGTAAGAAAATTAACTCAAACTCAAGTGTTAGAAAAAGTGCCTTAAAGCCAGTTATGATGACACTGACCTGCAATCCCAGATACTTCAGAGGCTAAGTCAGGAAGATTGGGAGTAGCTGGCCAGCCTATACTAGTTGGTGAGCCTCTGTCTGAAAATAAAGATAAAAAGAAGGCAGGAAATATAACTTTGTAGTAAAGCATTTTCTAGCATGGATGTGATTCTGTGTTCGTTGAGCAGAATGAAAGAAGAAAGAAAACACAAAGAGAGAAAGAGAAAGAAGGAAGAACAAGAAAACTTAAAATGTCCAAACAGCTGTTGAAAGATTTAGACACAGACAGCACAGTATGTAAATATTTTATATTGTTATTTGATTGTCTAAATCAAAGCTGATAGGAAGGCATGGCTCCATTCAATTGAATCTTTGAGCTTTAAAGAACATGAGTTTGAATAACTTACTTCAAATGAGCAGAAAACGGTTACAGGCTAAGTGCTGTGAAATGAGATCATCGTTCTTCTCTATTTTTAAAGGCTGTTATGCACTAACAGTAAACAGTCTTTAGAACAGAAGTTAGAAACACAGGAGAAAGAAAAGGTCCAGGGGTAATGGATTCCAATAATGAGAAATCCATATTTTGCAGAAAAAGGGGAAAAATATATAGGAGCTATGAGAGGAGTGTGGAGTAAACCAACTCAAGAATGCTCCACAGAAAGAACTCCACATTATAGACCACAGACCAGGATGAAGATAGAACATTCAAGAGAAAAGGTGAAATTCAGTTATAGGAATTTGTAACAAGGGAGTTATATCCCACTGACATAGGCTATCTTAATCCCAACTAAATGGGAAGATTCATCTTGGCATTTCCTACAATCCCAGAAAGTAAACCTAGGAGGCTTATGATAGAAAAGCAGAAATGCAGTATCCATCCTGATAAGATGTGCCTGAAAGGAAAATTATTCCACAAACTCTAATGACGTAAGGTGAGAAGGCAAAAAGTCAACCCACTTTTGGAATGTACTCCCTGACTTATTATATATGACTGAAATCCTCCGTGACTCAATATATAATTTTATTTCACATTATCATTTTCATTTGAATTTTCATATTGATTTACCATTTCTTAGAAAAAAACCCTATTATTTAAAGGAGAAATTTCTGAATCTGGCAATATTCTACCAAATATCCTTTAATGTTAAATTGTCTTTAGCCAAGATTGCTCATTCTTTATGTTGTTTCTTTCCTTTAGAAAGAGAAGAGTAGGAAAATAGTTCCTACATGACAGGCATTCTGAAAAAAAAAAAAAAAGACATGAAAGCTGCATGTCATGTAGCTATAGGACCCGAAGGAGGCGGTGCTTGGTCATGGGTGGAGCAAATATCACTACATTCAAACTATAAAAGTCGTATATTACAATGGCTGAGAATCATCCTTAATTTCTAATTATAAACCAAGCACAAATGGTTGAGGGGAAACAAAGGAAATAATCATTGGTGGACCATGAAAAAAGAAAAGAGCAGAAGTGGATTTAAACTACCGACTTGTATGTGAGCATGGGGATTTACCTGAAGGCCAGACAGAGCATGTAACTTGGTGGAGACAAGAAAAACAAAACAAAACAAACAAACAGCAACAACAACCACCCTGAAGAACACAGGAGAGGTATTAGAACTGGAATTTATGGCTAGGTTTCTATTGCTGCAATGAAACACCATGACCAAAAGGCAAGATGTAGAGGAAGAGTTATTTGGCTTAAACTTCTATATCACTATTTATTACCAAAGGAAGTCAGGACAGGAACTCAAATCAGACAGGAACCTGGGGGTAGAAATAGAGGCAGGAGCTGATGCAGAGACCATGAGGGGGTGCTGCTTACTGGCTTGATGTATATAACACAGTACCACCATCCCAGAGATAACACCACCCACATTGGGCTGGGCCCTTCCTGATTAATCACTAATTTAAAAAAAAATGCCATTAAAGGCTTACTTGCAGCTCTGTGTCATGGAGGCATTTTCTTAATTGAGGTTCTTTCTTGTCAGATGAATTTAGCTAGTGTCAAGTTGATATATCCAGCACAACTGACCCCTTGTCATATTGATACACAAACACATCACTGCTAAGCTGCAATCTTTCCTTTCTCATTTATCCCCAAAATCTCACATTAAAAAAATACATAAAACCCCCAGCCTCTACAAATTCAAACATGTTAAAAGTTCAGTCTTTTTAAAATATCATTTCTTTAAAAATTCAAAATCTCTTTTAAAGGGTTAAATTCAGCAGTAGCCTATTATAAAAATCAAAACTGAGTTAAGTACTATCTTCAAGCAGGAAGAACCAGGGCACAGTCTCAATAAAATCAAGTCAAAACTAGACTCCAACAGTGTAAGTAACTCAATATACAATTATCTGCAATTGACTCACAATATTCTTTGCTCCTCCAAGGAACTTGGGTCACTTCTCAGGCTCTGCTCTCTGCAGAACACACAGTGTGTCTTCTAGGCTCCAACTTGCTCTGTTGATGTTCTTCCTAATCACCTCATGGTACTGGCATCTCCAAAAGGCTTGGGTTTTCTGTTGAAACTGGGCTGCATTTTCACCAATTGCTTCTTGTAGGCTCTCTTCATGGTGCCAAGCCTCAACTTCTCTGCATTACCCCTTTCAGTCTTGGGCCTTCAACTGCCACTGAGACTGCTGCACCTTCACCACTGGCCTCTCCTGACCTCTCAGTGCCAAGCCTCAGCATCTCTCCATGACCCCTTCATGTTTACAAAACCAGCAACATAGGTGACTCTCAGACTACCAAGTTCAGCTTCCAGCATGAGGTACAACCTTGGCTGACTCTGGAAAACAACTTCACTGTGCTTTCAGAAAATAATTCTCAAATTTCACCTCAATGGTGTTGGTCTCTTCCTAGGTACCACCAGTTTTTCAGCTTCAGCAGACCAGCCTTTAGTATTCCAACAAAGAAAGCATTTCACTTTAGCAGTGTAGGTATCTTGTTAATTACAACTGATTCTTCAGCCCCAGCTAACCAGAGTCTTAATTTAAAATAACAAATGGCCCTGATAGAGTCTTTAAATTTCCCTCTGAAACTTCATAAGTCAGGCTTTCTTCATCTACCCTACTCTCAACATTCTTATTTTCCATGCTCATATAGAACTGCTCACTAAGCAATGGACACTCAATGGCTTTTCTTGCACTAAGTTCCAAAATCCTTCCATTACCCTCCCCAAAACACCACGGTCATGTCTGTCACATCAATATCCCACTCCTGGTACCAACTTGTCTTAGGGTTTCTGTTGCTGTAATGAAACATCATGACCAAAAAGCAAGATGGGGAAAAGGGGGTTATTTGGCTTACACTTCCATATTACTGTTCATCATCAAAGAAAGTTGGGACAGGAACTCAAATAGGGCAGGAAACTGGAGGCAGGAGCTGATGTAGAGGTGCTGTTTACTAGCTTACTCACTGTGACTTGCTCAGACTGCTTTCTTATAAAAAACCTAGGCCCACAAATACACAGATAGCTCTACCCACAATGTAGTAGGCCTTCCTCCATCAATAACTAATTAAGAAAATGCCTTGTTTTTTGGCCCAATCTTATGGGTCATTTTAATTTGAAGTTCCCTACTCTCAGATGATTGTAGCTTGTATCAAGCTGACATAAAACTGTCCAGCATTCTAGGGTTGAATATTTATCATAAGAGAAATGGAGTGAATGATAACCATATTTTAGCTCACAAATTCTTTGAATTTGCCTTAAATTCTTAAATTGCCTTCTTATACACATTCACATATCTTGCCCCAATCATTAAAGAAATGACCCCCTTGGTCCATATAATCTGACAGCCAAAACCACAATCATAGACCATTCCAAGAGAAGACCTTAGGAAATATATTCAAGTATGCAATAAATCAAGTATTGAAAGCATAGAAGACATAAGTCTGAATCATTAAAGGCATCAGCCAAGCAATGCTTCTTATGTAAACTATGCATCACTGGCCTGGAAGGGATAAGACTCAAGTACAGAGCAGAAAGTATTTATACCGAGAAATAGCCATTTTCTACTCCAATATAGAAATCTGTGACTCTCCAGAAAGTCATGTCTCTTCTTTCTATAATCCTTAGCCAGGGACAGACATCCTGCTAAGGGCATTTTGGAGATAAAATCACTAAGTGTATTTTCTTGTAGGTCCAGCTGAGATCAGATCTGGCTACACGCTTTTTCCTTTTCTGTGAACTGCTCCCCATCTGTACTCAGTCAGGATAGATTGTTAGGACACTGTTCCTGACTCCCTCCCTCATTTGGTAAGTTGACTTATTATAGATGAAAAGGTGTAATACTACATTTTTATGAAGTTGATTCCAATATTGTATGATTTTTATCAGTGTAATATTAAAAATTATTTGTCTTCTAACTTAAATGCTTTTTTTGCATTAATTCATGAGACTATAGGTTTTTTTTACACTGTCTCCCTTGTAAAAAAATCCAAGCTGCTTCTTATGATGTTGATTGAAGTATGTAATCAGAAATTTAAAAGTAACTGTTAACATTTTGAAACTATAATGTAATTACATCATGTTACCCTTTCATCTCCTTTCTTCTCTCCAACTCCTGCTAACCTCCTTCCTCTCTCTCAAATTTGGGGCATCTTTCCCTTTCATTGTTGATATATAAATATATAAATACATAAATACAACCTACTCAGTCCATAAAATGTTACTTGTATGTATATAGTTTCAGGACGACAATTTGGTTAATTAGTTAAGGACTCTACCCTGGAAGAGAGTATTTCTTCCACTCTCATGTATCCATTCATCATTTGGTGAAGAGTTGTTCAATCTTCATGAGTTTGTGTACTTATTAGATACTTGTTTGCCACTGATTTTTAGTTTTATTACATTGTAGTCAAATAGGGTACACAGTTATTTCAGTATTTCTGAATTCATGAAGCTTTGCTTGGGGTCCTAGGATGTGGTCTGTTTTAGAGAAATTTGTATGCTGATGAGCAGAATGTATGTTCTCTGATATTTGGGTGGAATATTTTCTAGATGTATGTGTAAGTCTATTTAATATAAAATGTCATATAATTCTGTTGTTTCTCTGCTGATTTATTTGTCCAGATAACCTGTCTTTTGGAGAAAGTGGGGTATTGAAATCATCTACTATAAATGGGTTGCCATTAATCTTTGACTTCAGTTCTAGTAATAAGCATTTTATGAATTTGGGATGAGAGTTTGGTACACATACACTTAATAGAGCAATGACATCTTAGGTAATTGTTCCCTTGATAAGACTAAAGTGTCCTTCTTTATTCCTTCTGATAAATGTTAATTTGAGGTCTATTTTGTTAGGTATTAGAATAGCAACACCTACTTGCTTCCTAATGCTATTTGATTGGAGTACATTTTTTTTTAGTTTATTTATTTGTATTTTCCGCATGAGTGCTTTGCATGTATACCTGCAGGCCATCAGATCCTATTATTTTTTTTAAGATTTATTTACTTATTATGTATACAGAAAAGGGCGCCAGATCTCATTACAGATGGTTGTGAGCCACCATGTGGTTGCTGGGAATTGAACTCAGGACCTCTGGGAGAGCTGTTGGTGCTCTTAACCTCTGAGCCATCTCTCCAGCCCCTGATTGGAGTAATTTTGTCAATTCCTTCACTCTAGAAAGGTGCCTATCTTTTAAGCTAAGATGTGTTTTGTAGGCAAAAGAAATAGATTGTGTTTCTTAAGCCATTCAGCCTGTCTTTTAATTGGAGAATTGAGACTATTAATATCTAGTTATCATTTAAAGGTGTGCTAATTGCAGTCATTTTATTATTTTTGTTTTTTTCTTTTGGGGGGCATAAGTTTGTGGTCTTAGTTATCCTTTATGATTCAGTAATTATACCTTCATTTATTTGTTTCTAAAATTTTTTGGCTGTAATTACTGTTTTCTTAAGTTTGAAATATTGTTTCCAGAATTTTTTGTAAGTCTCCTTTCAGGGACATGGATTTTTTTATTTTTTAGTTTTTCTATGTGATGGAAAGTTTCTTTTTAACTCCAATGATGGCAAACAGTTTGCTGTAGATTAGCCTGGGTTTGCCATCTTGATCCTTGTGATCCTTTAGGTCACAGAATGAATTGCTCCTGCTTCTTCTTGCTTAAAAAATTTCTATTGAGATACCAATTTCTATTCTGATGCATTTTCCTGTATGTGTGATCTGTTTATTTTCACTTACAGCTTTCAATACTCTTCCTCTGTTTTGTATGTTTGGTGTTTTAATTATGATATGCTGTGGAGAGATTTATTGTAGTCTTGCCTGTTTGGTTTTGTGTGCTTCTTGTTTGGTGTGGGTGTCTTTCCTTAGCTTGTGGAAGTTTTCTTTTTCGATTTTTATCAAACATCTGGGTTATGCCATTGACTTGGTATTCTTCGCACCCACATATGTAAAAGAAACATTACTAAAGCTTAAACCACATATAAAACCCCACACATTAATAGTGGGAGACCTCAACACCCCACTTTCACCACTGGACAGATCTCCCAAATCGAAACTTAACAGAGAAATAAAGGACTTAACTGATGTCATGACTCAAATGGACTTAATCGATATCTACAGAACATTCCATCCTAACAAAAAAGAATATACCTTCTTCTCAGCACTTCATGGAACCTTCTCTAAAGTCAACCACATACTTGGCCACAAAACAAATCTCAACAGATACAAAACAATTGGAATAACCTCCTATGTTCTATCAGACCACCATGGTTAGATTTCAACAACAACAAAAACTACAGAAAACCTACAATCTCATGGAAACTGAATAATACTCAACTGAATCGCCAATGGGTTAAGGAAGAAATAAAGAAAGAAATTAAAGACTTCCTAGAGATCAACGAAAATGAAGACACCACATACCCAAACCTATGGGACACTATGAAAGCAGTGCTAAGAGGGAAATTCATAGCACTAAATGCCCACATAAATAAGTTGGAGAAATCTCACACTAGTGACTTCACAGCACACCAGAAAGCTCTAGAACAAGAAGAAGCAAAGTCTCCCAGGAAAAATAGATGCCAGGAAATTATCAAAGTGAGAACTGAAATCAATAACATAGAAACAAAGAGAACAATACAAAAAATTAATGAAACAAAGAGTTGGTTCTTTGAGAAAATCAACAAGATAGACAAGCCCTTATCCAAACTAGCCAAAAGACAGAGAGAGAGCATCCAAATCAACAAAATCAGATGAAAAGGGGGACATAACAACAGACATTGAGGAAATCCAGAGAATCATCAGGTCATACTTCAAAAACCTCTATTTGACAAAACTGGAAAACCTAAAAGAAATGGATAACTTTCTGGATAGGTACCACATACCTAAGTTAAATCAAGACCAGATAAACTATTTAAATAGTCCAATAACCCGTAAGGAAATAGAATCAGTCATTAAAAGTCTCCCAACCAAAAAAAAGCCCAGGACCAGATGGTTTCAGTGCAGAATTCTACCAGATCTTCAAAGAAGAGTTAATACCAATACTCTCTAAATTGTTCCACACAATAGAAACAGAAGGAACATTACCAAACTCCTTCTATGAGGCTACAATTACCCTGATTCTTAATCCAAACAAGGATACAACAAAGAAAGAAAACTACAGACCGATCTCCCTCATGAACATTGATGCAAAAATACTCAATAAAATACTGGCAAACAGACTCCAAGAACACATCAAAACAATTATCCACCATGATCAAGTAGGCTTCATTCCAGGGATGCAAGGGTGGTTCAACATATGAAAGTCCGTCAATGTAATGCACCATATAAACAAACTCAAAGAAAAAAACCACATGATCATCTCACTAGGTGCAGAAAAGGCATTTGACAAAATCTAACCCCCCTTTATGATAAAGGTCTTGGAGCGATCCAAGGAATACAGGGAACATACCTAAACACAATAAAGGCAATTTACAGCAAGCCAACAGCCAACATCAAATTAAATGGAAAGAAACTCAAAGTGATTCCACTAAAATCAGGAACGAGGCAAGGCTGTCCGCTCTCCCCATACTTATTCAATATAGTACTTGAAGTTCTAGCCAGAGCATATATTCCTATATATTGAAGATTTAGTGTTTTCATGGTGCCCTGCATTTCCTGTTTGTTGCTTTCATGTTTATTTTAAAAAATTCATATTATTTGTTTCTTTTGTCTAGATTCTGTACTTTACCTTCAAGTCCTGATATTCTAGCTTCTACTTGATTCATTCTTTAGGTCCTCTTTAAATTCTTGGAATTCTTTGATGAAGTATATGCTTATTCTTTTAAATTCTGTATCCTGGGATTTTTTAGGTAATTGGCAAACATTTCTTTAGGACTAATGGATTTTTTGACGGGGGGAAGGGTGGAGGCTGAGATCTTGCCCTGATATTTCATATTGTTTATCTTCTTGTGATTAAAATCAGGGCATGTGGATTTGTTTTGTTAGTTCTGTATCTGATATGGACATAGCAGATTGGAGTAGAGCACAGAGTATGGCTGGATTGGGTCTGAAGTTTGGTGTGGAGGCCCATGAAGGTTTCTAGTGAGATCTGAGTTGCTTTACCCAGCAGAGCTGCATTAGGGGATGAATTGACCATGTGCATGATTACTAGGTGTATGGAATGGTCTGCACTTGGCTGTGCTAGGGGGAGGTCTTTTGTTCCACCCCTTGGCATTCCTTTAAAAAGGCCTTTAGCAGAGATAGAAGGGACTGGTCAGTTTGATCCAGGCTTTCCCTAGGCTATCCTGTGTTTCTATCTGTCTCTCTCCCCTCTATATTTCTATTTAAATATTTCTCACTTCTCCCTACTCCAGAGTTCCCTCAGAAAAAAGTGGGAGCGGGTCTCCCACAGTTTGGATGTGGCTTAGGTGGTATGAAATCGTGTGGGTACTGGGAGCAGCAAAGTATGTAGGGTGTGCATCCGAGTCTAAGCCTATATTTTTGAGGGGTATATCTGGATGTTGAGGAGGTGGTATATAGAAAAGGATCAGTTAGACTCACTTGTTAGACCCAGGTAGAAGGTATGTTGGGTGAAGAAGTTGGATGCAGTGCATATGGGCCTTGTGAGTAGAGATGGGCAGGCTTGGATCCTGACAAAGGTACAGATGTTGGATTTACTGCAACATTGGGCTTCTAGACTAGGCCAAAACACTGGATGTGGGACCAGGGCTAGAAACGGGGTATTTAGGAAGGTGCTTGGAGAGGAGGATTAGTATGACTAACATAGCTAGACCTTTGCCAGAGCAAAGGATGTCACCTTTAATTTTAAAGCAGTGTGTCTTTGTAATATTGTAACTTTAAAATTTCTATGTTGAATGATGAGAAGCTTTGTCTGGTTTGGCAGTCCTTGTGTCTAGGTGTTTCTACACACTTGGTGGTTTGTGTGTTTCTCACATTCTTTAACAGGTCAAAATACAAATCTTTCTGTAGACCCTGTTCAGCAAGACCATCACCCTGAAGGTAGAGCCCAATGACACCATTAAAAATGTGAAAGCCCAGACTGCTGGCAATGGTCGAGAGACAGCCCGAACTGACCTACTCTGGTGATGGGATGGCCAAACACCCTAATTGTTGTGCTAGAAACCTCATCCAACTACTGAGGGATCTGGATGCAGAGATCCATGACTAGGCCCCGGGTGGATCTCTGGGAGTCCAATTATCGAGAATGAGGAGGGTTTATATGAGCGAGAATTGTTGAGACCAGGGTTGGATAAAGCACAGGGACAAATAGCCAAATGAATGGAAACACATGAACTATGAACCAATGGCTGAGGGGTCCCCACTGGATCAGGCCCTCCAAATGGGTGAGACAGTTGATTGGCTTGATCTGTTTGGGAGGCATCCAGGCAGTGGGCCCGGGTCCTGTGCTCATTGCATGAGTTGGCTGTTTGAAACCTGGGGCCTATGCAGGATTGTTTGGCTCGGCCTGGGAGGAGGGGACTAGACCTACCTGGACTGAGTCTACCAGGTTGACCTCAGTCTGTGGGGAAGGCTTTGCCCTGGAGGAGATGGGAATGGGGAGGGGGGATTGGGGGGAAGGTGAGGGGGACGGGAGGGGGGAGAACAAGGGAATCCGTGGCTGATATGTAGAACTGAATTGTATTGCAAAATAAATTAAAATAAATTAAAAAAAATGTGAAAGCCAAGATCCAAGATAAAGAGGGCACCCCCCAGCTCCCCATCTTCCCCACTCCTCCACCCCCACAACCAGCAGAGTCTCATCTTTGCAGAAAAGCAGCTGATTACAACATTCAGAAAGAGTCCACCCTGCACCTGGCCCTCTCTCTGAGGGGTGGCTATTAATTCTTCAGTCTGTATTTCCAGTAAGCCGTGATGGTCTTGCTCTGCACAATAGCTACTTACCTCAATTTAAATTTAGAAATTATAAGTTTCAGTAATTGCTGAACCTCTGCTAAATGTTAATGAAGTTTTTGTTGCATGATAAACAAGAAAAAAAAGAAAATTTTTATTTGAGCCAGGAATTGACAGATATTTTCTAAGGTAATTTTTCACTTATATGATTCAGATAAAAATTAAGGTAAGAATCATATAAAGTAGGAGACAGGCAGGCAATCTTCAATCTCCATTTTCTACTTCAAATCCAAAACTCCCTACCTTCATTCCCAGCTCTGTAGCAGGACATCTCCTGCAAATTCTGCTTTCTTTTTGCCCCAGTCTACAGGATATCAAGCAGATCTACAAGAGCCTTTATCACCACCCTATCCTTTGTCTCAGATACCAACTCCCACGGGCATTTCCTGATAATGTTCAGTTTATGAGAGCCATGGAAACAGGTAGGTGGTCTTCACTCTCCCTCCTCTCCTCCAAATCGAACCACCTACTATCATCTACAGCTGTGTAGCAGACATCTTCTGTGGCCTCCTTCCCTCTCTGCCCCAGTTACTAGAGGTCTAGAAATACCTGATCTTTATTTAACCTTCATAAGTAGTATCTATCAAGAAAATTGTCCATTTTGTTTAAGTTTTCCAATTTTGGGCAGTATAAGTTTTGAAGGTATGACCAACTGATTCTTTGGATTTCCTTAGTGTCTGTTGTTATGTCCCCCTTTTCATTTTTAGTTTTGTTAATTTGGATGTTATCCATCTGTCTTTGATAAGGGTTTGTCTATATTGTTGATTTTCTCAAAGAACCAACTCTTTGTCTCATTGATTCTTTGTATTTTTCCTCTTTGTTTCTATTTTATTGATTTCAGTCCTTAGTTTATTTCCTGGTGTCTACTCCTCTTAGGTATGTTTTCTTAGTTTTGTTCTAGAACCTTTAGGTATGCACTTAAGTTGCTGGTATGGGATCTCTCCAAATTTTTCATGAAGGCACTTAGTGCTATAAACTTTCCTATTAGCACTGCTTTCATTGTGTCCCATAAGTTTGAAGATGTTGTACATTCATTTTCATTGAATTCTAGGAGGTCATTAATTTCTTTCTTTATTTCTGCCTTGACCCACCTGCCATTCAGTAGAGAGTTGTTCAATTTCCATGAATTTTTGACTTTCTGTTGTATTTGTTGTTGTTGAAGTCCAGCATTAATCCATGGTGGTCTAATAAGGTACATGGGGTTGTTTCAATTTTCTTATATCTGTTGAGACTTGCTTTATGACCAATATGTGGTCAGTTTTAGAGAATGTTCCCTGAGGTGTGGAAAAGAAGGTGTATTCTTTTGTGTTTGTGCAAAATGTTCTATAGATATCTGTTAGGTCTATTTGGCTGATAATATCTGTTATCTTCAGTATTTCTCTGCTTTGTTTTTGTCTAGATGACCTGTTCTTTGATGGGAATGAGGTATTGATGGGATACTCCTACTATCAATACTTAATGGTCGATGTGTGATTTAAGCTTCAGTAGTTTTTATTTATTTATTTATTTATTTATTCATTTATTTATAACAAATATGGCTGTCCTAGTGTTTGGGGCATATCATATTGGTTGATTTTTCTTTTGATGAGTATGAAGTGTCCTTCATGGTCTCTTTTGATTCATTTGGGTTTGAAGTCTATTTGTTAGATATTAGGATAGCTATGTCAGCTTGTTTCTAAGTCCATTTGCTTGGAAAATCTTTTTTCAACCCTTTGCTCTGAGGTAATGCCTATCTTTGATGGTGAGGTGAGTTTCTTGCATGCAGCAGAAAGATGCATCCTGTTTTTGTATCCATTCTGTTAGCCTGTGTCTTTTTATTGACAAATTGAATCCATTGTTATTGAGAGATATTAATGACTACCGATTGTTAATTACTGTTATTTTGTTGTTGTTGTTGGAAGTACTAGCAGTAGTAGTAGTAGTAGTAGTAGTAGTAGTAGTAGTAGTAGTAGTAGTGTGTACTTCCCTATTTTTGGTTCTACTGGTGTGAGATTATTTGTTTATTGAGATCCCATAGGGGAAGTTAATTTCCTCAGGTTGGAGTTTTCCTTCTAGTATCTTCTGTAGGGCTGGATTTGTGTGTACATATTGTTTACATTTGACTTTATCAGAGAAAATACTGTTTTCTTCACTTATTGTGGTTGAGAGTTTTGCTGAGTATAGTAGTCTGCACTGGCATCTGTGGTCTCTTAGAGTCCACATGACATCTTTCTAAGCTCCATTGGCTTTTAGAGTCTTTGTTGAGAAGTCAGTTGTAATTCTAATAAATCTTCCTTTAATGTTACTTTGCAGTTTTCCCTTGCAGCTTTTACAATTCTGTCTTTGTTCTGAATGTTTAGTGTTTTGATTATTATATGGTGAAGGGACTTTCCTTTCTGATCCAATCTATTTGGTGTTCTTGTAAGCTTCTTGTACCTTTATAGGCATTTCCTTTCTTAGGCTAGAAAATTTTCTTTTATGATTTTGTTAAAAATACTTTCTGGCTTGTTGAGCTGAGATTCTTCTCCTTCTTCTATTCCTATTATTCTTAAGTTTGTTTTATTTATTCACAGTGTCCCTAGTTTGCTGGATATTTTGTGTCAGAATTTTTTTAGATCTAAGATTTTCTTTGACTATGTATCAATTTCTTCTATCATATCTTCTATGTCTGAGATTTTCTTCCATGTTTTGTATCCTGTTGTTGTTTGTTTGCATCTGTAGATCCTGTTTGCTTACCTAGATTTTCCTTCTTAGAATTCCCTCAGTTTGTGTTTTCTTTATTGTTTCTATTTCCATTTACAGGTCTTGAACAGTTTATTCATTTCCTTCACCTCTTTTTTTTTTTTGAGACAGGGTTTCTCTGTGTAGTTTTGGTGCCTGTCCTGGATCTCACTCTGTAGACCAGGCTGACCTCGAACTCACAGAGATCCCTCTGGCTCTGCCTCCCAAGTGCTGAGATTAAAGGTGTGGGCTGCCACCACCAGGCTTATTTTTCTCCTCTTTAGGGACCTCTGCAATCTTCATAAAGTTGATTTTAAGGTCATTTTCTGGTGCTTTAGCTGTGCTGGAATATTCAGGGCTTGTTGTAGTAGGATACCTGGCTTCTGCTGATGACATATTTGTTGTGGGATAATGCTTTTGTACACTGGTTTAATAAAACACTGATTGGCCAGTAGCCAGGCAGGAAACATAGGTGGGATAAGCAGACAAGCAAAATTCTGGGAAGAGGAAGGCTGAGTCAGGAGACACTAGCCCACCGTCCAGGGAGCAGCATGTAATGGCACACAGGTAAAGCTATGGAAAACGTGAGGACATACAGATTAACAGAAATGGGCTGAGTTTAAGTGTAAGAGCTAGTCAGTAGTAAGACTGAGCTATTGGTTGAGCAGTTTTAATAAATATAAGCCTCTGTGTGTTTACTTGGGTCTGAGCAGTTGTGGACTGGGCGGGACACAGGAAATCTTCTGGATACACATATTGCCCTGGTTGTTGTTGATTGTGTTCCTAAGCTGGCCTCTAGGCATTTGTATTGAAGGTGATTATAGGTTTAGGTGCATATTTCTGAGTTTGAGTTTGTTTTTGTTGGATGGGTAATTTTTCCCTTGGTTTCTATTTCCTCTCTGGTCTTCTGACCTTAGTGGCATGTGGTTCTGGTGGTCATCTGGTCTTCTGGTCCAGATGGATGCCTCTGCTGTGATTCTGGCAGCTTTATCAGAATTACCTCTGGGGTTCTGGAGTTCTGGGATTCTGGGAACTGTTGAGGCCTCTGGTAGAGCAGGGGGCTTCCACTGGAGTTGTGGGTCAGGATATGGTGATGAGTAGGTGGGATCTGTTAAGGGAAGGCTGGATGGGCTCTGGGGAAGTGTTGACCGTCTGCCAGCAGGGGCTTACCTGGGGTTCTGGGTACCAGTATGGCCTCTGGTTGAGCAGGGTATTTCTGCAGGGAGTTGTGGGCCAGGCTATGGTTTTGAGGGGGGTGTTTGGGGAAACCTGGGTGGGTCCTGAGGAAATATTGGTGGTCTGCAGGTGGAGTCTTACCTGTGGTTCTGTGAGCAGGCATGGCCTTTGGTAGAGCAGAAGGCTTCAGCTGAAGTTGTGGGTTGGGATATGGTGATGGGGTGGGGAGCAGAAAATTAATAACTTTTTAGAATTGAATGAAAATGAACATAAAACATACCAAAACTGATGGGACCAAATGAAGATGGTTCTAAGAGACAAGTACATAAAACTAAATGCCTACAAAAATGGAGAGATCTCCTATTAATAACTTAATAGCCCACCTGAAATTTCTAGAACAAAAAGTGCAAAATAACATATAGAAGGGGTACATGGAAAGAAATAATCAAACTCATGTCTAAAATTAAAAAAAGAGAAACAAACACAGACCCAAAAATAGAATAAACCAGTGAAACACAGAGTTGGTTCCTTAATAAAGCAACAAGATTGATAAACACTAAGCCAAATTAACTAGAAGTCAAAGAGAATAAATATTAATAAAATTAGAAATGAAAAGAGAGACTTAACAATAGACACTGAGGAAATCCAGAGAATCATAAAGACACTTTAAAAACCTGTACTACACGGAATTGTAAAATCTAAAAGAAATGGATAATTTTTGTGATATATACTACTTACAAGAGTTAAATAAAGATTAGATATGTAATTTAAACAGACCTACAATTCCTAATTAAATAGAATTATTAGTTAAAAGTCATCCAACCAAAAAAATCTCAGGGTTAGAAAGTTGTAGCACCTAATTCTACATGATTTTCCAAGAAGTGTTAATTCCAATATTCCCTAGATTATTCCCCAAAATAAAAATGAGAGGAACACTGACCAATTTTTTTAAGAGGCCACAGGTACCCTGGCAACCAATCCACCTAAAGACCCAACAAGGAAAGAGAATTGCATAGCTATTTCTCTTAGGAACATATGTGCAAAAATTCCCAGTAAAATACTTGCAAATATAGTCCAAGAACTCATAAAAATGTTCATTCACAATGATAAGTAGGCTTCATCAAAGCCATGCAGGGATGGTTCAACACATGTGAACTGATAAGTGTAATCAACCACATAAACAATCTGAAAGACAAAACCACATTATCTTCTTATTAGAGCAGAAAGGGCCTTTGACAAAACCCAACACCCTTTCATGAAAAAGGCCTGGAAAGTTTAGGAATACAAGGAACATACCTGAGCATAACAAAGGCAGTTTACAGCAAGCACATAGATAACACCAATTTAAATTCAGAGAATTTCAAAGCAATTACACTATAATTAGGAACAAGTCAAGGCTGTCCATTCTTTCCACACATATTCACTATAGTGTTTGAAGTCTTATCTAGAGCAATAAGATGAATGAAGGAGATTAAGGGGATACAAATTGGAAAGGAAGAATCAAAGCATATTTATATGCACATGTAATGATAGTATACATAAGTGA